CTAGGATCATCAAGGGAGAAGAACAGAGAGAGGGACCCTACCCAGAGAAGCAGTAATGCCTGAGATGGAGGCAGAGATGATGACGTGGAGCGATGGAGCAGCTGGAGACTTTAGATCCAGAGAGGGAGAGCAACTGTGTGCTGAAGACCTGGGGGGTACGGGGGAAGGATTGCATGGAGGGGATTGTAACCATAGCAATGAGACGATATACAATAGAATGAATGTAAAACTAATGTTCTCCTATGTAAACTATCACATAATTGACAATAAAACATTAAAAAAAAAAAGTGTTACTCCAAGGAGTTCGGGTATGGCATGTAGGATAAAGCACTGAACTGCAAAGTTGTTTTGAACTGCAAGGTCAGCGGTTCAAACTCAGCAGCTGTTCCTCGGAAACCCTATACAGAGGTCACTATGAGTTGGACTTGACTCCACAAAATTTAACAACAAAGTGTAAAGGGAAAGTTTGGGTCTGATGCCCTGCCCTGGAGGGATTGAGTGTAATTAAAAAAAAATACTTCAGGTTAAAAAAAAAAGAGAGAGAGAAAAGCCTTTACCATTAGGAAGCTGAACCCTCAGCAATTAGGCTGATTTTTAATGATGTGGCACTATAGTATCATCACTGGACTGCAAACCACAAGATTGGAGGTTCAAACCGACCTGCTCCTCAAAAATCCCTGAAGACTAACTTCCTGTTATCACACTGGGAATTTGTGGGGGCACGGTGGCTCTGCACTGATAAGCACTAGACTTCGAACAAGTTTGGCAGTTCATGCCCACCAGCTGCTCTGTGAGAGAAAAATGAGACATTCTGTTCCCATAAAGATTTTCAACCTCTGAAACCCTATATAGGGTCTCTCCAAGTCAGAACCGATTGGACAGCACTTAGGAACAAAATATCTGTTTTAACAAGGTTAATTAGCACAATATGCAGGTGGGCTAAAATCATACCACTCTAATTCACACTAAACACAAACAGGGACCAGGCTTCAAGCAGAACTAGGCAACCTTTAACATTCTGACAAGGGTTAAAGCATACATCTAAGAACCATGGACAGGAAGTGGGGAGGTATGTAAGATGCTTCAGGTGGTGTTTGGTTTGATTCACTCTTAGCTAATGCAGAATAGTTAAGTTCTCAAAACTGCTGTCCTGTTCATGGAGGCAAAATTGTTATACTCCCGAGCTCACTAGCCCTGTGTTTTCCTACCTGTTACAGACTGAACTGTCTTCTCCTGAAATGACTGAAATCCTAATCCCTTTCTTTCCAACTATCTATAAATATGATCTTTTTGGAAATAGGGGTTTTAAGGTCTTCAGGAAAGGTATAATTGTAGACCTAACCTTTTCTGAGCAGCAGAACAGACACAGACACAGTGGAGACAGAGCAGGTCAGGAATGTCCAAGCCAAGGAACACCAAGGAAGAACCCCCAAGGAGCAATACTGATGTCCCCAGGTGTACATCTAGCCTCCAAAACTGTGCCACAATGCATTTCTGTTCTTTAATCCACCACTTTGTACTATTTTGTTTCAGCAAACTAAAGCACCTAGTCTAGGAAGGAAACAAAAAGAAAATTCTAAGGAAAACAACCTAAGGCAACAGTAAATGTAAGCATTCTGTTTTAGTACAGAGTATCCTATTTGCAGGCAGAAACTGCTACTCTGCTCTAGCTGATGGCTGAGCTACCGATGTGGGTCTAGTGGGGCCAGCTCTTCCACTTTCTTTTTTTTTTTTTTTCAAAAAAAGAGCTGGAAATCCAGACGTATGTGAAATCTCCTGATTTTTACATTAGTAGCTGTAGGGATAAAAGCTGGATGCTCCAAAGTAGCCACATTAATGTTAACCCAAGGAGAAATGCCCTGTCATTCCCCCTCTCTTCCCCTCTAGCATGTATCACTGAACCTGCATACTAAAACTCTGTGTTCCCAAGGACTAGCTACTTACCTATTGAGGAGCAGTTGGTTTGGTGCTATTTTTCTTCTTCCTTCTTTCTTGGAATATGAGGCTTGTTTACCACATAGTATAAAAGGCCCTGCAGGCATGGAAAATCTTGACTGTCTAGCCAGCCCAGCCACCACTGGGAACAGCTGTTATTCTCATCCCAGGTTAGTAAATTTCCCTATTTGTAAACCATCTTTTTCTGTAATAATCTAATGTCTCTCAAACTGTCTCCTGTTCACTTTTTCAGTCTCAGCAAATACCCACACAGGTTTTCCCCTTCTGGGTTTGAACTAAATAGTAGGTGATTTTAAGGAGTCCTGGTATGGCACTGTAGGATAAGCACTGGACTGCTAACTGCAAAGTTGGCAGTTCAAGCTCACCAGCTGCTCCTTGGAAACCTTATGAAGGGTCGCTATGAGTTGGAACCAACTTGACAGCACTTAACAATCAGCAATAGCTGATTAAAAAAACAAAACTAAAGACCCATTATTAGTCCATAGGATCTCTGGAGGCTAATGCTTAGCTGCTAATCAAAAGGTTGGTGGTTTAAATCCAGTAGTCACTCTGTGAGAGAAAGATGTGGCTGTCTGTTCCAATAAAGATTTACAACCTTGGAAACCCTATGGGGCAGTTAGTTCTACTTGTCCTGTGGTATCCCTATGAGTCAGAAGCCACTGGAAGGCAATGGGTTAAGTTGGATTTTGGTATTCTGACTTCCAAAGTTTTCAAGTTGTGGAAACTGAGGACCAACTTCTACCTATCCAGGGAAGCACATCTGATGGAAGTGTCATTGGTGTGCTGATGGTTAATAAACAAATCTGGAGGAACTTCTAGGATTATACAGAACCTTTCAGATTGGCCTGTCCTTCTCTGGGTCTGTTTATCTATCTGTAAAGTGGGGATACAAAACCCATTTGTAAAACAGAAGGATTAGAAGCAAATACTGTTGAATGACGGTGCACGGAGGAGATTGTAATCATTGCAATTAAGTGATGAGTGTAAAACTGATGTTCTCCCATGTAAACTATCACTCAATTCACAATAAAAACTTATGGGGGGGGGGAACACCTATTTGTGAACCATATATCAAACAAAACATAATACCATTTACTGAAGACCTGGCAGAGCTAGGTGCTTTTCATCTGCATCATCTCACTGAATTCTTAGTGTACCATTTATGAAGTTGTTAAGTGCTTTCAAGTTGGTACCAACTTATTGAGATCATGTATAGTTTCCAAGGTTGTAAATCTTTGTGGGAGTCCTGGTGTGGCTCTGTGGGTTAATGCGCTGAACTGCAACGTCGGTTTGAACTTTCAGCGTTGGTGGTTCAAGACCACCAGCCACTCCTCGGAAACCCTATCTAGGGTCACTGTGAGACGGAACCGACTCGATGGCACTTAACAACAACAACAAATCTTTGTGGAAGCAGAAAGCCTCATCTTTTTCTCCCTTGGAACAGCTGGTGGACTTGAACTGCTGCCCTTTTGAGTCTAAGTCCAGTGCTAATCCTACAGAGTCACCACACTCCCATTTATGAGGCTGTTAAGTTCCATCCAGTTGGTACCCTGTATAGGATTTCCAAAGAGCAAATGGTGGATTTGAACTGCTGACCTTGTGGTCCACAGTTGGGTGCTGATCCTACAGCAGCACCTCACCAGGTAAGTTCTATTATAACCACATTTTAAGGATAAGAAAACCATAGCTCAGCGATAGCAAACAATTTACCAAATGAAAAGACCAGAAAACATTTAAGTTTTTACTTTCTAAGCGCTTACTCAGCTAGTCCTCCCAATAACTCTGAGAGGTATGTTCTATTATTACTGCCTGAGGCCAAAGAGGCAAACTGTGCCAGGGCATTCAACCAAGGCGTTTTAACTCCCACACTCTGCTCAATGCTGCTGAACAGAAATTTTGTGGTAGCCACATTTAAACAGTGAAAAGGAACAGGTGAAATCAATTTCAATAATGTATTTTATTTGACCCAACATATGCAAAAAAATACAATTCCAACATGTAATCAATCAATGTAACAATGATAGTTTTACATTTTTCATACTAAATTTTCGAAATCCAGTAAAATTTACATTACAACACATCTCAATTTAGACGAGCCAAATTACACGGGCTCAGTACACACATGGGGGTAGCGGCCACAGTAACGTGCAATGCAGCTACAATCCATTATTAACTAATCCTAAAGTTGAAAGCAGAAACCGCAGTGCCACCTGCTCCCTTGGTTTCAGAGGCACGCATTATTATTTACGTATAAACGTAATAATGCAGAGTTCTTGAGCATTTATCCTGTGCCAGGCAGTGTGTGGATGATCTCATACATATTTTGTCACTCTCAGAAACAGGTGCTGCTGCCTCCCTTCCCTGTTTGACCGATGAAGGGCTTAAAAGACTCAGGCGGGTGGGCGACGAGGTCTGAACTCGAACCCACACAGCCGCACCGGAGTCAGCCCTTCCAGCTGTCCTGCACCTTTTAACAGCGCGGGCGCCAGCTCTAGCAAACCCAGGGCTCGCCCTCATCCTAATTAGGGTCAAGTGCGGAGGCGCGCCCTTGGGGGCAGGCGCGAGTCACCTGCGAGATGTTGTGGTCTAGGAAGCTAAGGACCCCAGTCGAGACGTCCCCGTCGTAACCTCCGGGCTCTTCTTTCTTTACTTTCTCTTGCTTCTTCTCCACTTTATCGTCCGGCTCCTTCTTACCTTCCTCCGCCTCCTGAAACTGGTGCTCCGAGGAGTCTTTGTCTGATTAAGCTAGTCTGAGCCTCGGCGACCTCAGCTCCCTCCGGAAACAACTCGCGAACGCTAGGAGGCGCCGCATCCTCGACCAGGGGCGCGGTTTCCAGCCGCTCAAGCGTCGAAGGGATCATAGAGAAGCCTGAGAAAACTTCCACTTCCGGCCGCCTCAGGTGTCTTGCTGGTGCAGGTAGGCTCGCTGTGTTCCTGGGCTGTCTCCCTTCCGCCTCCCTCAAGAGTAGCACGGAATCCGCCCTTTAACCGGAAAGGTTTCTCTCTCCCAACTACCCAACCCCCACTCCCCGCGTAGACGCAGTGCAGAGCCCTTAGCTGTCAGACAAAGAGTGACGCTCAGAGCCGGAGTCATGGCGGCCATAGAGGAAAGCCTGGCGACCGCTGGGGCGCTTGGGAGCCCAACAGCGCCGCCGGAGAAACAAAGTGAAGCCCACCCGAGCTCGGACCGGGCAAGTAATTCTGCAGGTTTCTCTTCGATTCCAGAGGCCTCACCTTCTGCCCCTGAATCCTCCCGCCCCATCGCCGCGGTCCCTGAGGTCCCTCCACCTCCCGTTGTAGCTTCGGCAGCACTTGAGCTGCCTCTCGGGCCCACGCCCCCGGGCCCTGCTCCCCTGGCCGACGCCGCTCCGCACTCCACCGCGGGCCCTGGATGCTCCCGACCAGGCCCCGAGACGTTCCGCCAGCGCTTCCGGCAGTTCCGATACCAGGACGCAGCGGGCCCGCGGGAGGCGTTCCGGCAGCTGCGGGAGCTTTCCCGCCAGTGGCTGCGACCCGACGTCCGCACCAAGGAGCAGATCGTGGAGATGTTGGTGCAGGAGCAGCTGCTCGCCATCCTGCCCGAGGCGGCGCGGGCCCGGCGGCGGGGCCGCCGCACGGATGTGCGCATCACCGGCTGAGCTGTGAGGCTGCGCGCGGCTCTGCAGCTCCACGGGAACCGGGGCCTGGATCGGGTGGGGGGCCCGGAGCTTGCCTCCCCTCCTAGCGTTAATGAAAAGCGAGTTTGGGCAGCTCCTGTAGTCTGGTGTGACTCTTTCGTTCGACCTTTACGGAGTTTGTGTCCCAATCCTGTTTCCCATCTCCTTTCGTTGTACTTGTTAAGTGCCGTCGAGTGGGTTCCGGATCATAACGACCCTGTACGCAGTTCAAGCACACTAGCCGCTCTTCCGGAAACCCTATATCAGGGTCGTTGTGAGTCGGAACCTATTCCACGGCACTTAAACTGTGGGAGAATACGTATCCGGGTTAAAGGCAGGCTCTGAAATCCAGCATCCTGGACTCCAGTTTCTGCTCTTCCTCTTAGAGGCTAGAATCTGACCTTGTTTTCCCACCTGCATAGAGATTGACTTTAAGTGCCGTGGAGTTGATTCCGACTCAGCCAGCCATCCTGTGTAGGGTTTCTAAGGAACCGTCGCATGTAGAGCACCACACCAGAAGTCCAAGCCCCGGTAGCTTCGTGGATTAGTAACCTCAAGGTCAGCTGTTCAAACCTACTAGTTGCTCCAAGGGAGAGAGATGAGGCTTTCGGCCCTTCATAAGTCCAGCACAGGGTCATTATGAGTTGGAATCTACTAAGTGGCACACAACTACCACCATTTGGTCAAAGACTTCCCAGAAGGAGGGAGCTAGTGGGCTAACTGCATTTACTGCCTTCTTTGCTAAAATTTTATAACTCTTAAGATTTAAGAAGCAGAACTGGTGTGAACCAATGGGTTAGTTAATTTGCAGGAGGACATTTTAATAGGGTCTCTACAACTGACTCCCTTTTTCAAAAAACAAGCTTAATTGTTTAGAAAGGGAAAATGGAATTTGGCAGTTGGGAAACTCTTAACTGTTCTTGAGGCTTCTACCCATGCATGGTGATATGGGTAGCTTTGATTTGAAAGGGTCCTAGTTGCAGTGGTGCTATCTCAATACAGAAAGACCAGAAAAATCCCAGCACTGCTTTCAACAATTAAAATCTTAAATCTGCAGCTAGTGATGTAAAGCATAAACCAGAATAAGCTAGAGGCTGGTGTGAGGCATCTTGCTTTGAATATTAAGTCATTTTAAAGTATTTGCATACTCTTTTGGGATTTGGAGGTTTCATCTGGTTTCCTGCAAAAGATAAATCTGTTTAAAATGTAAAAACAGACTTTTTAAAGTAAGGTAATGCTTACAGAAAGTTATCAAGTGCCAATGAATCAGTTCTGACTCATAGTGATCCCTGTATGGTTTGAACTGCTGACCTTATCCTATAGCGCCACACCAGAAAATCAAATAATGCATATTAAAGAGTAAAGAGCTTTATAATTCAGTAACAACATGTAACTGAAACATAACAACAAAAACCTGTTTTATTTTTTCCAAATACAGAAGTTTGCATGTTTTGCAAATATTGCTTCAAAGCAACATTTCTATATACAGCGCCTTCTGTTCTAATAGCACGTAAACATAGGTATGTATCCACAGTGCAATGTTGGCTCATCAAGGATCCACCTTGCATACACTCATCACTTATAATGATCAGTCAAACCAGAACTGTGTTTATCAAGGCAATTTTGTAGGTGGATAGTTTTTCTCAAAGGACAAAACTTAGGTAGTGCACATGTTTCTATATGGTAACAGTAATAATGTTTGCAAATAAGAGTTTCCAGTGCTCCAACTTGGGGGTTAGTTCATCTTGACCTAGGAATTGGGGATAGAGCCCCTTAACATGGCTTTAAGTTAGGGAAGTACACTGAGGTCAGGACTTCTGAGAGTCTTCCTTGCTTCCCCCTAAGGATAAAATTTCCCAATGGGTGAAATGGGATTTTTCTTATGTAGAATTTAATGGCCACTAGGCAAACTTAAGGTAATTGTTTCTGCTTTCATCCTTCAAAAAGATAGTGAAATTAACTACCTTAAAAGTTACAGCTTCCTAAGATGTGAAATTCAAATGTATTTTCACAAAAGAAAAATCCAGAATAAAAAAAATAAGAGTCATACCTCACAGTTGTGGCTACAGAAAATCATCCTGTTTCTCCCTTTTCAGACAATGATCACACACAGTTCTTAAAACGTGCTGATTAATTATCTAAATCATAGGTGCTACACACTCCTTTTTGAGTGCCTTACCACACCAGAGATCCCTAATTGATTTACAATGGGAAACAGCTTCCTGTAGCAAAACTGCCAGCTTTAATCCAGATGTTAAAACCGCATGCGTTCCCTTCTGATGGATGCAGGTCAATTTATACTTGTCATGTAATTAATTTTATAGCAAATAGTGAACAGTTCACGAGACAGAGTATCCCCTGAAGTGGGTCTTAGTACAGAGGCCATAATGACTATAGGTGCCTTATAGCCTACCCATTCCAAAGGTTCCTGGAGATAACTGTCCTTGCGATATTGGCTATTTCATGTTTACATTGTAAATATTTGCAGCTTGTAACATTACAGAGTCATAAACCCATAATTAACTTGTGAATGTTAATGGGCAGCTGTGCTTTGATTTCCTTTAGTGATAAGAAAACTAGTGTAATGGGTCACTCCTCAAAGCATAGGACATTTTCTTTCATTTTGCCTACTACTGAGAAAAACAACAAAATGTAGCAATTACACATGGAACCGTAACCTGCAAAAGTTAACACAGATATTGTCTCTAAAGGTACAAATATATTGTACCTGTACCTTAAGCAGCATGATCACTTTGATCTCATAAAGTGTTGAAGTATATTAAAGCAATTCTGGAAACATTCTCCTGGGAGAAAAGCGACACATGTATAATCTGAAATTTGTTTACAACCATACAAAATAAGGTAAGTCCCCAAACCACATTCTTTATAACAAATCTTTATAGTGAAAGAGTTCAAAATTTGGGAAGATATTTTTTGGACATTAAACAGAACTAACCTGTCAATATAAGAAGTTGAGTAGAAAATGATGTCCTTTAGGTTCCAGACCCTGCCTGCTTCAGTTTGAAATCTGTCCTAGATTCTTTGAGATTCTAGTTTCTCCACAGGCTGTATGGGTGCAGCTACAAAAGACAGCCCAGCCCACTTGGGCATGAAAACGTACAAAACTTGTCCCTGGGACCATGAAATCATGCAAGAGATGTGAGAAAAGTGAAGAGTCTTAATGAGATAGTAGAGCAACCAAGGCCTCTCCTCCTGCCCAAGTGCCATAAAACGGTGAAGTTCAGACATTCCAATGAAGCTGGAAAATGACAGTGACGGTTACTGACTAAACATCATGCCAGCCAGAACCAGAAGGATTGGCATGTGTCCCAATCTGACAGAAAAGTCAAATAAGCTGCAAAATCAAGTTTACAACTATTTCCAACTAAAATTTTTGGCTCTCATTCCATTTATCATCAGTGACACGATTTCAAATGAAGTTTGTGCAAAAAGACTCGCTCTTGATTCAACGATGTGCACAGCAAAAGGGAATCCCAAGAGACTTATTTGTTACTTTCTTGGTAGGCTTTGAGATCAGAGTGCCCTGCCTTCCAGCAGCCAAATGGCATCTTTGTCCAATGTCCATCAGACCCTTGACCAAATCCCTGAAGTCTGTCAGTGTCACGTGCATTCAGCATGCTAGGTTTATTTGTTTAAATATGTGAAGCTTCTCCTGCAGGTGCCCCAGGGTTGTGACCCTCATTATTTTGGGGTGCCCAGTCTCATGTTGAGCAGCAGAGGGCAATCTGCTGCACTTTGCCAAGGTCCATCAGTAGCTGCTTGATACAATGCTTGAGCTGTGGTAGCCTAGCCAATGGCTCTGGGGGCTCCAGTTCCCCAGTATAGTCCAGCCAGCTCTCCAACACTGTTGACAGAAGAGACAGAAACAGGTAGCAGTGAGCTTTCAATATTTGATTTGCAAAAACATCAAGAGTTTCAGCACCTGATCCTATTTGACCACTTGTAGAGGGAGGAAAATGGGATTAGGGGGAGGGGGACCATTTCAACCAACACTGACTCAATACTTGCCCTACAAAGTATGAGTATTACTCGAGTGCTTTACAGCAATGCAGTTCAAGAAAATTTCCTATGATGATAGAAATGTTCTATACTCATGTGGTCAATATGGTAACCACTAGTCATATGTAGCTGTTAAACAATTAAAATGTGGGTAGTGCAATTGAGGAACTGAATTTGTAATTTTATTCCATTATAATTCATTTAAACGATCACTTACAGCTAGTGGCTGCTGTCTCAGTGTAGCTCTAGAATCTAGAGAACTTTGAAGGCCCCACCTTTCTCAGTGGTAGCGTAGTGGTTACGAATCGGGCTGTGAGCTACAAGGTCAGCAGTTCAAAACTACCAGCGGTTCCGCGGGAGAAAGATGAGGCAGTCTGCTCCTGTAAAGATTTACAGCCTTGGAAACCCTGTGTAGGGTCGCTATGAGTCGGAACCGACTCCACGGCAAACAACAACAACAATAAATCTTTTCTTTATAAGGCCTAGAGTATTAGAACACAAAAAGAGTGTGGCCCTAAACCAATAAGACACATAAGTCTTCTGGTAGGCCAGAAAAAGGAGCCAAAATTTTCTTATCCTCACCACACTGCCTGTTCCAGGAGACTAGGGCAGGAGAGGCCCAAACCTGGCAGAGGCGGGTTAGTGAGGTGAGTATGACATACAAAGGCTTTGACGTTGCCCTACGGGCAGGTTTTCCTGGTAGTAATGGGTCATGCTCACCCTGCTTCAGGAACCAGGAGCCATGCTTACTGCCATGCTCTCAAAATCTACAATTTCTAGTCTGGTATTTGATCTTTTCTTGACTACGTAATATCAGGATTTTCACAGAAAGTGACATCAGTTACAATTCTAAGAAAACCTTTTAGGAGTGAAAGTGAGATGGAAACATTTCCCTTTCCAGAAATACCTACCCTTGGGGCAGCCTCCCAATCACAGTTCCTTAGGTTTGCCTAAACACGAGT